ATATTAAGCCATACAAGTCTTAATACCCAGGGATCCCTTTAAGAACTTTGGTAACACTTTACAATAAGGTTCATTAGTTAAAGATTAGTTAATGTATAAACTAACATGAACTAACCATGAGCAATACATTTGTTACTGTATTTACTAATCTTCACTAACGTTAGTTAATAAAAATACAGATGTTCATTGTTAGTTCATGGTAGTTCACAGTGCATTAACTAATGTTAACAAGATTTTAATAATGTGTTAGTAAATGTTGAAATTAACATTAACAAAGATTAATAAACGCTGTATAAGTGCAGTTCATTATTAGTTCATGTTAACTAACGTAGTTAACTAATGAACCTTATTGTAAAGTGTTACCAGAACTATTAATATCCATAGGACCTTTCCATTGCACAAAAGTTTCTTTACATTGGAAGAAGGTTTTTCAGATTATTCAAATGTTCCTCATGCTTCTTTTAAGAAATATTCACTGAAATGTTCTTTGGGGAACCAAAACTTGAGGGCCGAGGGCCAAAAGCAAATGTTGCATTAAATCCAAATATATAATTTTTTGTAGCCTAAATCAAATTTACATCCAGTAAATTCTCTACATTTCAATGCAAATATAGAACAAAACACAAAGAAAAATTATAAATTAAGTGCAATGGCAGTTTTTTTTCTTCCCTCTATTTTATGGCATGATATGGCATGCCGGGTAATCAGGCCAACTTTGGCCCACGGGCCCTGGTTTGGGCATCTTTGTTCTATGGCATCAACGCGAAAACTTAAAATGACCCCTTTAAAATTTTTAAAGAGGTCATATGACGTTGCTAAAAAATAACATTATTTTGTGTATTTGGTGTAATGAAATGTGTTTATGCGGTTTAAGGTTCAAAAAATACATTATTTTCCACATACTGTACATTATTGTTTCTCCTCTATGCCCCGCCTTTCTGAAACACAGATTTTTACAAAGCTCATCGGACTGAAAAGCGAGGTGTGCTCTGATTGGCCAGCTATCCAGTGCGTTGTGATTGGCCGAATACCTCAAGAGTGTGACGGAAATGTTATGCCCCCTTACCATATGATGCCGTGTCCCGGCGCGATGAGACAAAACCAATAAAACCCATTATAAAAGAGGCATTTGTTGCATCAAGTGGGGACATAATTACTTATTATAATGACTTATACTGTCTTTGTATGTGTTGCGTTGCATCGTGCTGCGTAAACATACAGTCTGCATTTGTGATCGGACAAATGACAAACTACAAACGCTACTCTATACTGCTCAAAACTCATGTTTGAATCATCAGTGGCAAATCCTTTAAATATGAAAGCATTCTTACAGGCTGGGAGTCAGCATTATTTGTCAGAACAACGGCATTGTAGGCTACTCTCCCAGGAAACAGTCCTCGTCCTCTGTAAAATGCACTGCACACATCTGAATATTTGGGTTGAACTGTTCTGGAACAGTGTTGTAAATACAACTTAACTACTGATTTCCAGTTGTGTCCTCTTTTGGAAGGCCAAACAAAGTAGTTTCGCTTTCATAACGAATCCAACAGCGTCTCCACGACATGGCGGCGGCGGCAACAATACTACACCGAGAATCAAAGTTACACCTTCTTTCTTTGCGGGAACATTTGGGAGTTGTTATGCAAATCTTCCCACACAGTGACGTAGACATGTGGGGGCGTGTTTAAACGTTTAACTTTTATAAAGAATATCTCTTTGGGTTTGAGACTTTAGTCTTTGCAACTTTAGGGATCGTATCTATTCACAAACAGCTTGTAACACTCCAAAGAGAAAGGAAAACTTGAAATCGCACCATATGACCCCTTTAAGAGTGTATGGATGTTAAAGAGCAGGTCATATGTGTTTTTGAAAAATATCTCTTTTGCAGCAGACTGTACAAGACATCTGCTCTGGCACTGCTAATAGATGTCTCTGTAAACAAGAAGGCTGAAGTGTACTTCTGTAACTCAAAGACATCAAAAGTAGACTACTTATTTGATCAGCCTCGAATCCAACAACTTGAAAATAATTGAAAATATTAATAAAAAATTATAATTAATTGTAAATTAATTATATCATACTATACAAAAGAAATAATAAAATATATAATTACATAATATTTTGTATCATATTTGCATGTAAAGACATTAGAATTTTGCTTTAAAGAGCAGGTCATATGGGTTTTTGAAAAATATCTCTTTTGCAGTTTATAACGTAGTTATCCTTAAATGTAAACAACATCAGCAAAGTTGTTAATCAAAAAAGTACATGATAAATAAAGATATTGTTTCTCAAAAGAGAGAGTCGATTCTGAATCGCCTTAACGAGTCGTCATATTTTCGAATCTTTTGCCTGTTGCCGGTATAGTTACTGGGTTATACATTTGCATAATCCCCGCCTGCCCGCGAGTCTTTTAAATCTTCTTAATTTAAAAAAGTACGATTGATACGTTATGTGTACATTTTCAACTGAGTGCTCAAAATATCAAGTTTTTGTGCTAATATGTGATGTACACCTAGTGCAGCTTTAGGTTTCCATGTAAAGCACGATATTAGTCTTACTGAAATAGTTCTGATAATTCGCTCTGAACCCACTATTTCCTAAGAATGTGTCGATTAATGTAGACTGGCGTTGTTCTAATAATTACTTTGTTTAATAATAAAGAATTTAGTGTGTAGCGCACAGACTTTATAATCATTGTTAAATTGCTGTTTATTTTGCTGCACCGGCAGTTATAGGGTTAATGCGGGAGCGACGAGCGAGTTAGTTAAGTGTTCACAGTTTAGCAGCTAAACTTTAGCTGTGGGCACGATTCGCTTGCATAAGTGTTTTGTATTTTATGACATTATTATAAGAAAGTATTGGAGCACTATATTATTGTTTTATGTAAAGGTTCTTTGTCAATGGTAGAGCTCGCTAACTTGCTCAAGGACTCCTCTCTGTGCCAATCACAGCAGGCTTGGTCAGCTGACCAATCAGAGCAGAGTAGGCTAATGGCAGGGAGGGGTTTGCTCCGAACTTGCTTGGAACGAATCGTTTCGAAATCATTGGCAAATGTCTCTAATATTAAATGTGTATTCTGAGAAAATTACAATGTTTTCTGACCTTAGATGCATTTAAACCTGTTGTAGGGGTCTCTAACACAATATTAGGACACTTTAAAATACCATATGACTTGCTCTTTAAAGATTCTTCATGGAAACATTGATGCCAATAAAAAAAACTTTATTTTTAAGAGTGTAGGGCAAGATAAACACACAGACTCATCAATGTATGATATATGATGTATGATACATGTACTAAACTGCATGTAAGATGGGTTGAAAAAGATAATTAAAGGTCTGTGCTGAGCTCAGTGGATGATACTGGAAAACTTCAGGAGAAATTACACTGACCTATATCGGCCACATCCAGGCAGTGTTTCTGGGAGGTGATGGGCCCAGTGCGCATGTGTGCCGTCACGTTCATGCAGTACATCTCCCAGATCTGAGTGTGTTTGGCATCAAAGAAGCAGCTGTTGATGCCACCGCTCACATAATCAGGACACTCCTGAGGAGCGTGTTCACTGCGGGACGACATGACGTTCAGGATCATTGCTTCATATAATTAACAGCAGTATTTGCACTCTACATAAACAACACTAATCTGGTGAAAAATGACAATAAATACAAATTACTGAATATTAAACAGATATATCAAGGAGTTTGACATGCTGTAAAGTGTGTTTTATTCATGCCTCACCCCGTGGTGTACAGGAGCGTGTACGTGACATTGTCCTGATTAGCAATCGGCTGCCACCAGCAGCTGAAGATCTCCATGTTGGGCGACCGACAGTAGTAAATATATGGCCTTGTTCCATCTGCAATGTAAGAAACTATGACTTACGATTTCAATGAAGAGGTTTATTTCTTTGTAGCAGTGACAAGTACATCCTAAACTCAAACCTTTTTTGAAGTCAAGGCACAATAAACTATAATGATGACTGTATTAGCATCCACATCAATGCATTATACCATTCTGTTTATTGCGAGTGAATGCTACAGTTTTGTTGTCTACTGTTTTAAATCAGAATCAGAATGAGCTTTATTGCCAGGTATGTTTACACATACGAGGAATTTGTTTTCGTGACAGAAGCTTCCACAGTGTAACAGAATGACAGTGACAGAACACAAAACACAGATAATAAAAAATTGAACAAGTAAATAAGGAATTTGACAGTTGTATGTGCAGGTATATTACAATAGACAGTTTTTGTATGTACAGGTACTGTATATTATGTGCAAATGTGAGGTGTAGACTGAGTATGTGTGTTAGATAAATAAGTGTATGAGTGAATAAATAGTGTGTGTTTCACAGTTATTGTTAAGTGTTCATGAGATGGATTGCCTGAGGGAAGAAACTGTTCATGTGTCTGGTCGTTCTGGTGCTCAGTGCTCTGTAGCGTCGGAATGTACACACTTACGAGAATGAACGAGCAAAACTCCCGCAGCAAATAGAATGGCTTGCAATTAATGAAGTGCACTTCTAGATCTGAACAGCGCATCTTCTTTAACACAGTTACATCTGTACACCCCCTCTCATTGATGTAAAAGCATGTCCCGCCGCCGCGTGATTTCCCCTTTGATTCTGTGTCGTGGTCCGCTCTGAAAGCCCAGCAGACTCAACGCGCTGTCCGGAATGGCGTCTTTCAGCCAGGTTTCCGTGAAACACAGAGCAGCAGAGTTAGAAAAATCCTTATTTGTCCGGGAGAGCAGAAGAAGTTCATCTGTTTTGTTGGGTAGAGAACGGAGATTTGCCAGATGGATGCTAGGGAACGGCGTTCTGAATCCGTGCTGTCTGAGCTTCACGAGAGCGCCGGCTCGCTTCCCCCGTCTGCGCGTCCTGAAGCGAGTGATCAGCACCGCAGCTCCCCCGACAACAATGTCCAGCAGAACATCAGAATAATCAAAAACCGGTCAAATATCGGGTGGTGTGTACTTCCTAATGTCCAGCAATTAATCTCTGGTGAAACCCATTGCAACTAAAGACAGGACAAAACATAAACATAAAAACAACTGCGGAGCACGCCACGGAGGCAGCCATCAGCGTCGGCGCCATCTTACTTTTTTTTTTTTGCTCAAGTTATTTAATGTTGAGTGGATTTTGATTGGGTGTCAATGTTTTTATCAATCCTGAGCTGGAAAATTTTTGAAAAGTGATTTGAAAGTGATTCCAATTATTATAGTTGTGACTGTATAGTGGGACTTCTAAATTCTGTTAGAGTTAAGGAGATTGTTAAAACTATACACTTGTCCAAGGCAAGCTCTTGTCATCTCAAGACTGGACTGCTGCACTGCTCTACTGGTGGGCCATCCAGTCAGCACAACTAAACCTCTGCAGATGATCCAGAACATGGCAGCACATCTGGTCTTCAATCAGCCAAAGTGAACCCATGTCACACCCCTCCTGATTTCACTCCACTGGCTCCCAGTTGCAGCCAGAATCAGGACTACCACTTGAACATCACCTCCATACCTCAATTCAAGTCTATGCTTCCCATCAGCTCAGGTCTCTGAATGAGCGACACCTTTTTGTTGCCTTCACAATGAGGCACAAAGTTTATTTCCAGACCCTTCACCCTCTCTGTCTCTGGTGGAATGAACTGTCAACCTACACCCAAACTGCTTAGACCATCCCATCTTTAAGAAGCAGCTCTACCACAAGCACTTTAGCACACCTTTAAACCAACACACATACAAACACACAATCTTCTCTGCATTTTCTTCTCCAGTTTGCTTCATAATCTAGTTGTCCAGTAAACCTGGCGTTATATATTGTATTTCTGAATATTGCTGGCTCCTTGACAAATTTCTTTAGTTCCTCTTTTTTAAGTCACTTGGGATAAAAGCGTCAGCTAAATATCTAAACGTAAAATGTTTTAATTATCCCTCAGAGTTATCGTATCGTATCGATAAGAATTGGGACACCACTACTATGCCATCAAACGTCATCATACGTCGTCTAGCTCATACAATACACACACCTAAACTGGTGTGCTGGTGTGCATTAGAGCCTTTAATTACCATTCTATATTAATGCGCTGCTTACTGACACACACACATCAGATATTGCATATCGGAGATCTGTCACATCCAGGAGCAAAGAAACTTGTCAACGCTGCCCCACGACTTTTATTAATAACAGTTTAAATATTGAATCGCTACATTATATTTTCCAGCAATGATAGGATAAAATCGCTATTTTTGAAGTAAACTCACTCGTTGTAAAGAGAGACGCACAGATGTGCATACACGCAACTTTCATCTCTCTCTCTCTCTCTCTCTCTCTCTCTCTCTCTCTCTTTCTCTCTCTCTCTCTCGAATTGGCAATATTTCAGAAAAAGGTTTAGCGATTTCTAAATATTGGGGGACTAGCCCCCATCAATGTCTATGGTGGTTATCGTCCTGATCAGACATGAAAATATGTTGTGGCACTATTGTGCAGTCAGTAATGATATAACGTAAGCAAACTTTAGTGATTTTTTGCAAACATTTCTTTGAATAACATGACTAGGGATGCACCGAAATGAAAATTCTTGGCCGAAGCCGAACAAAATGAAACACTGGGGCTGAAGGCCGAATACCGAATACCAAACACGGTTTTACGAGTTTTTTCTTCCATGTATTTTGCCAACTTTTTTTTCACCATTGCATAAATTAAATAGTTCAAATGTGCTTTTTACTGTTTTGTCATGCTTTTCAAAGAAAAAAAATAAATTTTACAAAATTAATAGTGATGGGAAGTTTGGATCATTTTATCGACTCAGACTTTTGAGTCTCGCTCAGCAAAATGAACAAATCTTTTTTCGAGTCATTTCGTTCATTTTAGCAAAATGTAATTAAAATGTTACGTGTTACTTTGAGGTTTGAGTCGTTCATTCATCACGTGACAGCCCCATAAGCTTTAACCAATGCAGTCTGAGCCGGAAAGAGAATTGATTAGTTCATCTCTCGAGTCTTTCGAATCGTTCGTTCTTTTGTCTCGTGACGTGACAGCATTGGATAGAGAAATTAGTTCATTTACAAAGACTCGAGAGATGAACTAATCAATTCTCTTTCCGGCTCAGACTGCATTGGTTAAAGCTTATGGGGCTGTCACGTGATGAACGAACGACTCGAAAAACCCGAAGACTCGAGAGATGAACTAATCAATTCTCTTTCCAGCTCAGACTGCATTGGTTAAAGCTTATGGGGCTGTCACGTGATGAAAGAATGATTCGGAAAAACCCGAAGACTCGAAACAGGTGAACTACTTGACTAATTCCAGTACAGAACCTATATGATGTTGCGCATGCACGACTGAATGAATCACTCCCCAAGACGACTCGTTCTTCCCGAGTCACATTAAAGGTTCGTTCAAAATGTACAAATCGTTCAAGAACGACCCAACACTAAAAATAAATATGTAAACCAAAGTTAGAATTAAAGAAAAATAATAGGACAATTCAACTGCATAATTTATTCATGCTGTGATGCATGCTGGGAGTTTTGTACTATGGTACCCAGCATGCATTGCAACATTACACTTTTTTTTGTCACCATTGTTGAGGTCCATGTGTTGATTTATGATGACTTTGTGTGTTAATGGAGTTTCACTTTTTGTGCTCTTTTTTTTTTTTTTTTAATCTCTAACTGGTTCTGCAATTCTGTTGAGCTTACGCTGCAGTTTTATACAGCAAATGTATTATTGGCATTGCACAATCATTAGAATCAATTGACAACAGTAAACCAGGTATTTCATTATGATGCCGATTCGTCAATAGCTGACTATCATCACCTGATCCCATTTTGTCTTTATTTGCTACTGTAAATGTTTGACAAACACACCGTCAAAACAGTCAGTGAAGACAACCTGATTGTAATAAGAGTTATGAGCACAATTAATGGAAACACCAATCACAATTATGCTGACTTCAAATGAAACAAACATTAGATTTAAAGGTCCCATATTTTACACCTTTCTGGAGTTTTATTTTAAGTTTTGATGTCCTTAAGAATATATATTTGCGGTATAAGTACCAAAAACCATCTCAATATATTTTTACAGCTCCTTTCTCAGGAGCTCTGCTGAGAACAGGTCGATTTTGACCTGTCTAATTAATATTCATGAGCCTCTCTTCGATTGGTCTGTTGTTTTCTGAGTGACGCACGGCCAGGCCAACCACAGCTAACTAGGGTCAGCCGACTGCACAGCGCTAGCTGGAGGCAGCAAAACAAAGGGGAAACTGGAGGTGGCCCATTCAAACCAGCGCAGATTCAGCTACATAAGGAGCTTAAAATATAATTTTGTTGTGATGTTGGGTGCCAGAATCAACGTAATACAGCCTCAAATTAGAAATTTTATCACATATCTGCTGTGGGTGCCAGAATCGATGTAATACAGCCTCAAATTAGAAATTTTATCACATATCTGCTGTCACTGCCAGACAAAAAAAAACGACGACAGCTGTGGTTAAACGTGATAAAACGAGCAGACTGGACAGAAACAATCGTCAAAAATGCTCACATTTGCAGCGCATACTTCTTATCAGAAAAGGTTAAATAAAGTATTGTCTTTTGTTGTTATGGGCAGATTTCAGATTTCTTGCCATATGTCTATGTTTCTTGCATCTCACGATTATGCCGTGTATGAAATAATGTCTGTGCATGTGTATAAAACAACAATCTGACAATTTATATATAATCATTTGTAATTGTATATACATTGTTGTGATTAATTGTGGCTGGAACAATAATGTAGCTGTAAAAATAGTTGCCTGCTGAAATTGAAATGTACCGTATTGGCCTGAA